AGAGAGAGAGAGAGAGAGAGAGAGAGAGAGAGAGAGAGAGAGAGAGAGAGAGAGAGAGAGAGAGAGAGAGAGAGAGAGAGAGAGAGAGAGAGAGAGAGAGAGAGAGAGAGAGAGAGAGAAGTTTGAGTTCATAATTATTTGTTTTCATTCAAGTTTTTGTTCTTAAATTGTTATTCTGTTTTCAATAAGCTTGAAATATTGATTTTCTTTGGGGGGAATAAGAGATAGAAGTGTAGACTCTTTTGGTGTTCCCGGTAGTAAACTCATTGGTAAGCCTGTGTGTTAGGTGTTCCCGGTAGTAAAACCGTTGGTAAGCCATGGATAGAGCCCGCACCCATACCTCTACAACCATCAAAGAATCATCAATATTATCAAACTTTATTGAAACAGTTAGCAGTTTAGGTCGCAAAAATAAGAATAAACAAATAGTTATGAGAACTCCATCAACAACAGAAGAAAACCCTAGTACTTCCCAAGATAATTCCCAAACAGAAATCCAAATAGCAGAAATAGAAAACTCTTTACACAACTGGTCTATACCCATAGTTAAAAAATGTGAAGTTTATAAACAACATAGTATATTTTCAACAAACCAAGATGAAATTCATATTTCTGAATATTGTTATCCCGGTACTAAAACAAATAAAATTATAAATTTATTACAGCAAGATGTTTTAGATGAGCATATTAAAAAGGGATATAATTATATGCATTTAGGTTTGATACAAGTTGCTGCAAAACCTAATTACAGATTAGGAGTAAATAGTCCAATCTTATTACTTTTAAGAGATATCCGTATGAAACAATTTCAAGATTCTATTATAGCAATATTAGAAAGCAATCTTCATGATGGTCCTGCCTTTTTTAACTGCTATCCAAACTTTTCTATGAATATTAGAAACCACAAAACTAGTAACGCATTAAAATTATATGTTAAAATTCCTGACGAAATATTAGATGAAGATTCTGGCCCAATACAACTTATTTTTAGGATATATTACAAAGTAACAAAAATTGATTATAATTATAAAGCCTTACGTTCTTCATCCAAAAATGAAACTATTTTAGTAGAAGCAAATCTTAGGAAATCTTCAATACAAGTACCTAGGCGTCTTAGTCACGCTGAGGTAATTTCAAAAATTCCAGAAGATTGGTTATTAGAAGATATTATAGAAGAACCTAAAATATATAATACTCATGTTAGAGAAATAATTCAAGACGGAACAGATATTAGATTAAGAATGAATAGATCACAATCTTTTAAAAATACTTTACCTCAAATGATTTATAAAGGAACTAATGCGAGACATTCAGTTGACGGCTCCACTATAAATATAGATTTAACCAAGTTAGATATTAATTCCAAAATAGCAAAACCTGTTTATGAAAATATTAAAAAAGATGAAGATAATTTTAACCCTTCTGCTTCAGATTTTAATTCGGTTATAAATACTATTACCAAGCAAGAACCCTTTAAAATTGATAAAGAATGGATCAATCAAGATTTTTTAGCATATTATAATAAAGAATTAAGAAAGTTTCCCTATTTGGTAAAATTTCTATACGTAAATGATAGTGTCATTGACTTACTTTATTTTTCTCTCTATTCTCTTTAATTGACTTGCTCTATTTTTCTCTATTTAGCTGTTTTTTCCTAAGAATCAACTATACATTGTTTTACGTACTGTTTTTTTAATATATATTTTATTATTTGTTAAAATTTATTAGGAACTTCAAAATCAAAACATTAATTTATTATTAAATGAGAAATAAAAAATACTAAAATTTACAATTTCAAATAAAATTCAGCTTACGGTATAAAACATGTTTAAAGAAGTGTGTTAGAGTTAGAGAATATATTCCTCAGGTTTCTCTTCTTAACACCCATGGCAAAATCA